ATTTCTCGCTTTCTGTCTCTATGTCTCTCTCTGTCTGTCTGGCGAGCGCACGCGCCCTATAGCGAAAAAACCTCTCCAAAAAAAAAAAAAGGCTGAAAAGGCCGAAAAGGCCCTAATTAAAGTTTTCAATTCCCAAGAGGAGGACGCTGAGGTAGCTCATCACAAACAGCCCAAACAGATGGCTGCCATAGAAGCCCAAGCCCTGGTGGCTGCCCTGCGACCGGCATTTCAGAAGGGGGTCCCTAGATGCAGTCTTTCCTGGGGAAACTGCTTCAAATGTGGCTAACCAGGCCACTGGGCCTGTGAATGCCCGGACCCCAGGCCACCCACTAACCTTGCCCAGGGTGTGGTCAAATGAGTCACTGGGGCTCTGACTGCCCCAAAAGAGGGAGACGAGATCCACTCCTGACGCCTCCACATCGAGAGAAGATCCACCATCCCCTCCCCATCACACATCCCATCGACCTGGCCATGATGGGATTGGCTGAGGATTGACGGGCCCTGGACTTGACCACCCCAATTACCCTCGCCGAGCCCAGGGTCCAGCTTCAGGTAGCGAGTAAGTCGTTCACCTTCCTGGTGGACATGGGGGCTACCTACTCTGTCCTTCCAACATACTCTGACCCCTTATTACCCTCCAGATCTCTATTGTGGGTATTTATGGCTAGCCCTCATGTCTTCTACCGAACCCTTAGACTGCCACCTCAGAAAAATGTACTTTACCCACTCTTTTCTTGTCATTCCCACACCCCTCCTAGGTCGTGACATCCTTGCAAAGTTATATGTCACCCTTCAGTTTAACTCCTCCCCCTTTCTTGGCCTCCTCTGTCAGGCCGCCTGTTCCCCTGCCGGGCCTAATTCCCCTCCCCCACCCACCCCCCCCCCCCCCATTTCTTTTCCTTTTTTTTTTTTTTTTTTTAAATTTATTCATTCTCTACATTAATTCACTTTACACCATCACAACACACAAATGAATTTTCCATCCAAAATACCCTGTGCATTGGCTCAATCAAGCCCATCAACATACATGCTCTCAGCAAATAATTTTCCAATTCTTATGTCCTGCATACCTTGCCTTTTGTTTTGCCATCCTTGATTCCCCATCCCCCACCCTCTGCCATGTCCCATCCTCCTCCCACATTGTCCTTGGCATCCATGGTTTCCCTCCATGCCTCCCCCCCCCATTCAATTGATCTGCCAATGAACTTAATTAGTCTAAATATATCCAATAGCTAGCACAGCTGACACATACCTATACATGACCCCAAGTCTGACTTTAGGCATAAACCTCAGTGAGTAGAGTGAACATACTATAAAGTAGTACCCAGATGGGCCCATACCGCTCACTGCAGTCATCAAATAAGCATTTTTTTAAAAAAATGATACGAACAGTTTTACCGTTTTTTTTTTCTCCTGCAACTTTTTTTTTTTTTTTTTTTTATTACCTAACATTCATTCCCTGAGCATCATCACAACATACTAAATGTGGTTTCCCATCTAGGATAAACTGCATAGTGGCTTAATCAAGCATGCACACACGAAAGCTAATCACTACGATGCCCTCCTGAATCAAAGACTTTATGCAGAGTCTGCCAGCAAGGAGACGGGGTGCTCTTAAAGCTGTCTCCCCTTCCAGGGAGAGGGGTTGTCTACAGAGGAATGACCAGGGAGGGGTACGGGATGATGTTTGCAGGCCCAGGTTGGGTGGGAGACTCTCCAGTGAGGACTCAGTGTGCACAATGTCCTTTGGTTACAACTAAATAGGGCAGTGCCCAGCATGCACAAAAGCTAATCACCACGGTACCAGGCTAAATTGAGGGTTTTATTCTAGAGCCTTCCAGCAAGGAGATAGGAGTGTTCTCCACGCTGTCTCCCCCTATAAGGGAGAGGGGTCTCCTATAGAGCGATAAGCAGGGAGGGGGATAGGGTGATGTTTGCCAGGCCCAGGTTGGTTGGTGTAGAGACTGTGTAGTTTCACAGACGTGTTCCGACTGCAACAATTCAGAGTACCCAGGACTTCTGATCTCATTCCTTGGAAATAAGTCCTATTCTGAACAGATCAGCAACCTTTGCAACCAGTAGTTTTTTGGTTTTTGTTTTCTTTTTGAGAGGCTTTTGCTATAGGGTGCGTGCACTCGCCAGAAGACAGAGAGAGACATAGAGACAGAAAGCGAGAAATCACTCCCTAGGGGGGATGGTCATGCCGCATTCCCTTCTCCTCCATTCTCCTCTCGGGATCTTGGGCACGCACACACACCCGGCATGAGTTTTAAGCCACCGGGTCCGGGACGCGAACCGCGGTCGACTACATGGGAGTCCAGCGATATAGCCATTATGCTAACTGCTGGTTCCCCCCCACCCATTTCTCCAGACCAAGTCAACCCCATAGTATGGGACACTTCCTCCCCTTCTGGTGATTCTCACCATACACCAATACTCATCAAACTTAAAAACCCTTCAGTCTTTCCCTCTCACCCGCAGTTCCCTATCTCTAAAACTCACCGATGGACTCAAACCCATCATCGCTCAACTTCTACAGCGTGGCCTCATCCCCACGGCGTTTCACTACAACACTCCCATTCTTCCTGTCAAAAAGCTTAATGGTAACTACCGTTTAGTCTAAGACCTTCGTATAATTCATCTGTCATACCCCTACACCCAGTAGTCCCTAACCCCTATACTCTCTTTTCACACATCCCTCCCTCCACTACCCACTTTTCAGCCCTAGACCTCAAAGACGCCTTTTTCACTCTCCCACTCCATTCAGACTCCTACCCGCTTTTCCCTTTCACTAGGGAGGACCCAGGTACTAATATCTCCCAACAGCTCACTTGGACTGTCTTGCCTCAGGGCTTTCGTGACAGTCCTCACCTCTTTGGTCAGGCCCTGGCGAAGGACCTCATGGACTGTCCCCTTCATCCTTCTAAGGTTCTCCAGTATGTAGATGACTTGCTTATCTGCAGTCCCTCACTGCAGGATTCACAAGCACAGACAGCCACCCTCCTTAATTTCCTGGCTGCCAAAGGATATCGGGTTTCCCCCAGCTATTTAGTCCAACGGTTCCATACCTGGGACTCTCCCTGACTCCCACGACCAGAGCTCTCACAACAAACTGGCTTCAGGCCATTAGGACTCTTCGGCCACCTCTCACAGCTGATGCCATCCGGTCATTTTTAGGCTTTGTGGGATTTTTTAGACACTGGATTCCTAACTTTGCAGCTTTGGCTCGTCCTTTATATTAGGCAGCTAAGGAATCCCCTGTAGGGGACGTCTCTTCCCCAGGAACCATCACTTCTTATTTCCGCCATATTTGCTAGGCTCTCCTCCCCCCTTATCCTTGCCCAACCCCACCCTTCTCTTCATCCTCTTTGTAGATGAACGTTCGGGGGTGGCTGATGGAGTCCTGGCCCACTCGATTGGTCCCACATATCACCCCATTGCCTATCTTTCTCAGCAGCTGGATGGGACGGTCCGTGGTTAGCAACCTTGCCTTCGGGCCCTGGCTGGGGCAGCCACTCTAACCAAAGAGGCTCTCAAACTCACCCTTCTCCAGCCTCTTACAGTTCTCTCTGCCCACCACTTTCAGGACCTCCTAAGTCACTGCATCCTCCCTATCCTCTGTCCCTCAAGAATCCAGGAGATACACCTCTTCATCGAAAATCCCTCCATAACCCTCCAATGCTGCCCGCCACTCAATCCTGCCACTCTTTTTCCATTTATTCTGGCTTCCTCCTCAGACAACACCCTGCCTCACTCCTATCTCGAGGTAATCAATCTCTCTCATCTGGTGCGTCTGGGGCTTGCGGCCATCCCTATAAGGGACCCTACCCTTACCTTGTTTGTAGATGGAAGTTCGTGACCAACGCCCCAGGGCTCCCAGAAGGCGGCTTACACCATAGTCACTCCAGACTCCACCTTGGAGGCGGACACTCTCCTGCTGGCAACTAATCTCAGCGGGCTGAACTCTATGCCCTCACCAGGGCCCTGCATCTGTCTAAGGACAAAAGGGTCAACATCTATACGGATTTCAAGTAAGCCTTCCTCATCATTCAGTCACGTGGCCTTATGGAAAGAACGCTGCTTCTTCACTGCACAGGGCTCTCCCATAATCAATGCTGATTTAATCTCTGATTTACTCAACGCACTCCAGCTCCCAGCCGAAGTAGCAATCATACATTGCAAAGGACATCAAACCTCAATGGACCCAGTAGCTATGGGCAACACTAGAGCCGATTCGGTGGCCAGACAGCTCACCTCTAACTCTAAACCCATCCTGTTCTCCCCGACAATCAAACCTGCATAGTCACAACAGGAACTCTTCCGCCACCAATAGGACCTTGGAGCCATCCAATTGGATAGCGGATGGCTGTCTCTTCCTGACGGCCCACTGGTCTTACCAGATGCCCAGGCCCTCAGCCTCCTTACCCATGTTCATAACTCTCTCCACATAGGTCCAGGGCCTCTATATCAGTTCCTACAGCCGCTCTTCTCTCACTCTTCCCTCCACTCCCTGGTCTCTGCTGTTCACGATGCCTGTTCAACCTGTGCTTCTACATCATCCCAGGGAGGACTCCATCCACAGTTCCCTACCCGCCAACTCTGGGGACACATCCTTTGCAAAGACTGGCAAATTAATTTCACCCACATGCCGTGACACAAACATTTTAAATACCTTCTTACTCTTGTAGATACTTTCTTGGGTTGGATAGAGGCCTTTTCTACCACCCATGAGACCCCTGATACTGTGACCAACATTCCATTCTCCTCCAGCACATCCCTCGCTTCGGCCTCCCGACCAGCATTCAGTCTGATAACGGCCCTGCGTTCATCTCGCAAGTGACTCAGCAGGTCAGCGGAAACTTACACATCACCTGGAGGCTCCACATCCCACATAGGCCTCAGTCCTCGGGTAAAGTAGAAAGGGCCCATGCCCTGCTCAAACCACACCTTACCAAGCTTACGCTAGAACTCCACCAGGGGTGGCCTGACTTGCTCCCCGTTGCACTCACCCATCTGTGAGCAACCCCCCGAAAACCCACTGGTCTCAGCCCCTTTGAACTGCTTTACGGCAGACCCTCTCTGCTTAACCGTCATCTGCCTACAGACGCCACTCTTGGCTGACTACTTCTCCTCTTTGGGCCTCCTCCGGGCTCTCCTGTGAGAACACGCTAACCAAACCTTACCCCAGATTCCTTCTACTGAGTTTCCCACGATACTACTTCCAGGGGACTCGGTTCTCGTAAAAGACCTCTCCCCGGGATCCCTACAGCCTAAATGGTCAGGCCCCCACACAGTCATACTCACCACCCCAACTGCTGCTAAATTATTGGGTCAGCAATGCTGGTACCACCTTTCCAGACTGAAGAGGGCACCCTCTCACTCCAGCTAGAAATCTACCCAACTTGGCCCCACTAGACTCCGGCTAAACAAACTCCCCAACTCTTAGAAAAAAACCCCTTCTCTCCCTCATGGCAGAAGCCTATGTCATCTCTACCCCACCCCTATAATGACCTGTTCAGGCCCTCACCATCACACTAGCCCTAGTTCTCTCTGTCAGACTGGCTGCAGTGGCCCCCCAGTAATGGGTGTTCTGGAAAAGTCTTTTCTAGCAGTGTTATACGTCCTACTCGTGGGAATCATGGTAAGTCTAAGATGTCTGGACTGGCTAACTGGGGCTGCCTCCTCCCCATGCGGTTAGTCACCCCGTTAATCCTCTGACCTCTGGGTCTTGGGCTTTTACCAGTGGTAAATGGCAGCTCCTCTCCCCCTTGCCAATGCTTGGCCACATAAAAGGAATGAACACTCCTGTTATCATCCCGGGGCTCCCAACCCCATTGGCGTTTGTACACCAGGGAAAAGGCGACAAGGCCTGCCTCAATCTCACAACGATCCAACAATGCCAGAACCAAAATTCACCTGACTTTGTAGGAAAAAGCAGGGGGAGCCATGATTGTTACATATGCCCCCGCCCCCGCGGGAAAATGGGTATGCTATGAAAGCCTGAGACAGTATGGGCTCCCTGATGGAGGAGGTAAATGTGCTACACAAACTCGAGCTGCCATCCAACACACAAAACAAAAACTCAAACCCCAGACCCCCCAAATCCGGTCGAGATTCAAATACACCACGAAGAGACCCTCAACTTGACCCATGGATTATTACACTCATTAACACAATTCATGCTTTCCTATCTCGGGTGAAGCCCCAGCTGGCATCCAGCTGCTGACTTTGCATCCGAACAGCCCTTCCCCGCATATATGGCACCCCAGTCTACCCTACGAACGATATCCCAATAGTTCATCTGACCTCTGTACGGGAAGGACCGA